GTCTCGCTTTAATCCATTTGAAATTACAAACGTTATTCTAATACATTTTTCTTATGTCATTTGTCATCACTGTTACAACAAACAATACATTAATAAATTAATTTCAGACCCAAATTAAGTTCAGGCTCATAAATCATAAATAATAAACAGCTCAATGTATATTAACAAATAATATATGACTTATGAATAATTTGAAACTTTGTTACATGTCGAATATTATATCATGCCCCACGAATATTAAATTAAACTCAATTCTGATACTATTCAATAACAATTGCTAACTATTAATATAATTGCTTCTAACAATAAACAGTTAGAATTTGATATTTTATGTAGTATGCAAATAATATAAATTCGTGAATATTATAAACCAATTAAATGTTATTATATTATTATCGATTTATTATATATTCGAGTTTCTGAAATATTTCTTTTAAATAGTAGCAATAAGCTGTACTTTAATGCTAACTTGTTTTACTGAATTTAATTTACAGCATTAAAATGGATAATGTAGAACAATTGAATAATTTGAAATTAGAAGTAATTCACTTGAGTTAATAAATCGCCAAAGTAATGAATAATATATTAAATATTTATATATTAAGGCAACGTGAATCTACTAATCCAAATTATCCTTATTCACAGCAATATATATATATATATATATATATAATGTATTTAATATAAATACTTTATTCAAACACAATTAAAATATTTAACATTTTCAAATATACAAATACTACTTAGAGAATGGTCATGAATATTTACGTTTATGTAATGAATATATCTATTACTGACTATATGTCTAAATAATTTTCTTTTACGTAGTTCAGCTTTAAAAACCGTAAAAATATCTTGTGAGATAAAATGATGCGTGCGTTACAATTATTTCCAAAGAAGAATAAAAAAAATTTCATAAGTTTATAAAATCTCATGCAGCATGCTTGATTATGTACATAGTCAAGATGGCGCTTTCATTGCAAAGTCTTATTCATAAAAAAATTTCTAAAATTAACATTTTGTTAATAATACAATCAGCTCTCTCTCTCTCTCTCTCTTTTTATTATAAAATATACAAAAATTATTGAATATAAAATTTCACTTTGATAGCTTGATTCTTGTAATATTTAAAAAAAAAAAAAAAAAAAAAAAATAAGAGAAAAAAGAAATGAAAAAAAGAATAAAAAAAGTAAATTATTTGAAAATAATTTAATCGCATAGGTCAATAAAGAGGTGTAGAAAATATAAAAATAACATCATGATATTCCGAAGGAATAAAACATTGGCATTTTGATTAAAAGTTCTTTTATTTAATAAACATCAATATATTAAATTCAATGATTAACATATGTTTTTTTTTGTTTTCTTGTGAAAAACATATTACGCAAAATATCAACATTGTTTGCCAAGTTAACTCAACTATCACGTACACTGATACCCATTAGTCATGAATTTTACAAAATACTTGTAACGCATAACCCTATCATTAAAATATGAGTACATTTTAATATTTATTGTTCAACACAAAAATGAATATAGATTTTACATGCTTCTTTTAAAAAAAAACCATTAAGTGGTAAATGTGAATTTATATACAGATATATATATATATATATATATATGTGTGTGTGTGTGTGTGTGTGTAGTTTAATAAATTTGTGTACTTAAAAAGACAATATTGTTTAGTTGCCTTTATTTTACAAAACAATTATCATACTGTCGAATAATTTAAATATATAAAATTTGTTAATATTTCATTAAATTACCAAAAAATATATTATACTTCTTTTCAAATAAAATCATTGTCAACGAAAAATTTAATTATGTATTTATCACTGCGTATATTTTGGCATTAACTTTCGTTATTTTAAGCAAAGTACATTTTGTTCCATCTATGAATTAATTTTTTTTTTTTTTTTTTTTTTTTTTTTTTTTTAAGGTACGCACAAAAGGCACTTTTATCTTATTAAAATTATGTTGTTAATTTATTCTTAAATATCTAACTTTCAGAATCGAATAATTAATGTCCTGTCGTATAAAAATACACTTGTATTTTATGGCTATTTATATATATTTTTGATTGAGTTGATGGTAAATTTTGTATGCCAATGTAAGAATAATTGTAAACAATGATAAATAATTAATAATTTCGTAAGACGAATACGAGTCAAGCTTAAGCCTTAATATCATCTCATATAAGTGAATACGTATTATTTTTAATTATTATTAATTATTTTTTTAATATTCTAGCTTAGATATAAAAAGTATACACTTGTAGGGACTGACACTAAGCAAAAACTATATACAGAAATTAATGACAAATTCAAAATAACTTTACAAGTATCGCAAGAAATTTTTTGCAAATGTAATAACTGTATATTAAATACAAAAAATATTCTTTAAAAAATGTATAGCAATCTCTATAACACAATTATATCAATTTATATTAAAAATAAGAAAAGAAAAGAAAAAGAACAAAAAACAAAAAAACATGTAATATGTTTCTTAAGTTACTTAAAATAATTGCGTAATGCTTTTTTTCTTTTGTTTATTTCAGTCTTACGGAAATCTCGACATTTTACAGTAAATAAAAAATATCCATTTGTTAAAAGCTTAAATTGAATTACTAAAGCCCAGTTAACTACATCTCTGTTACTAAAAGTATTAAAAGTATCTTTTTATGCTACAGAAAATATTTTCTGAACTTATACATTACTCATTGTATTTACAATTACAATATTTTAAATTCTATTGGTATAAAACACTTTCTCAGCGTACAAGACACAGATGTCTACTTTTTTTCTCTCCATTTTCTACAAAGAAGACATTGGCATAGTTTATATTGAATTATCTATTAAAATTTTAATGTTCTTAATCCGAATACTTGAAACATACTATTTATAATTGTACCGTTGAAGTCTTGCTTCATTTTTTTTTTTTTTTTTTTTTTTTTTTTTTTTTTTATAAATTATAAGATTAGTAATAAAACATGTATTTGATATCATTACTAAATGATAACTGCTTACGTTAAAAATAAAGGTTGAGTATTTTTTGACACTTTAATCACCTTCAATTCTACTAATCATTGTTATATGATTTTAGTATTTTTAAATGGAATAAAGGAAGTGTAAAAGAGCACATTATCACTGCGATAAATGACATTGCGATTATGCGGTAATATATTTATAAATATACGATTATTAAAATTGAAGATAATCTAAGTTTAGAAATAATTGATTTGCAAAATCTTCCATTCCTACAAATAATATTAGGCTCCAAAAAAAAAATTTTCAAACTAGATGTACTTATGAAGTTCGATATCATTAAATAAAAGTAGTCGATAACTCTTGTTCGAGTATTTTCTAATTGTAATTGGCAAAATTACAAGTCGATTGTTAAAAAATGTACACAAAATTTTCTTCTATTAAAAATTAAATAGTGTCAGCCGTCATAATGATATTTATATTATAGATAATTTACTGTAGTAAACCTTAATATTTCAATAAGGAAGTCTTTATTTCATATGTAAGTATCAAAATCAAATACGCCTTATTCAAAGGGGAAAAACCCCCTTACATTTTCAATGGCACTACATTACGAAATAATGTTAGGGGCGCGGGAGAGGTGAGGATGGACGATACGGGCAGATCAAGACTAATTGCATTATTTACAATTGTATAAATAATCAATACTGAATATTTACAACAAAGAGAATTTGTCTAAAATTCCTTATTGAAACATTGCGAATTATTACAATGGATACAACTTGTTTGCTTGACAATAAATAACGGGTCTACAACATAATAAAATAAGCGCCGGTCTCTTAAGCGCTGACACTAGAGCGCGAAAAAAGAAAAAAAAAAGTACGAATCCGCAGCACGACGACGATTATTCTTATGATTTATCAAGAGTAACGTCACTTTGCACAGCGACAATAACAAGGTCCGTTATTCTCGGGGACTGCTGCTCGCTCAAGCCGCTGGCCCCATGAGATTCATCGTTATGTCAAAGATCAAGTGACGTGTCGGAGCCGTGATGCTGTTGGTGATGATGAACCTGGGGCTGTGACTCCTCGCGCAGTAGCGGCTCTTCTTCGATCGGCATTTGCACTGCGAACAAAACTCTTCTCATGCACACGGAAGTCTCAAAGAAACTTTGGCGCGACGTATGGGCGGCATCACTATTTCCGTTTCCCTATATTGAAAGTAATTAAAATGCCTTCTCAAGTTTTTCAGATTTTACTTAATACCGACTTGTTTAAATTCACGCGTATATCTATATCCCTTCATGTTTTTATTGTTTCTCAAGTACTTAATAATTAAGTCGGTTCAAAAGCTTTCGATGTGCATCCATTATACATCGGCAATTGAGTATGATATTCAGGAAGAATGAAAAGAAGGAAAATTATTATTTTTTTTTTTTTTTTTTTTGAAGCTATTACGACTAAATTTTATATTTCCAGAAGCCTTATTTTCAAATATGCTAGGTGGTCGAGTAATTTATCAACTTGTGTTGCATTAGAGTCATCCTAATGCAAACAAGATCAATTATTATTATTGTTAAATTAATTTTAAATAAAATTATTTATTATTCGATGAAAAAATGTCTATTCGAGCTCGTGTCATTTACAAACAATGACTAAAACATCTAAATGTACCATTGGTTACATGGATAAATCTAACTTTTTGATATGAATATTTGTGCAGTCGAAAAATAAGCAAACGTTTTCGTAAGCGAATGTCAATAATTTAACGTAATTACGCAAACAAAAAAAATTTTGTTTTAAGTAAGAATAGATTTAATTGTACTTTAAATGTTACTTAAAATGTAATATATTTTTTAAATAATTAAATTAATGATAATTTTAATATCCATATATATATATATATATATATATATATATATATATATATATATATACACACGTCCGTAGCGTATTTCGCTTGATAAAAAAAAGAAAAAAAAAAGTACGAATCCGCAGCACGACGACGATTATTCTTATGATTTATCAAGAGTAACGTCACTTTGCACAGCGACAATAACAAGGTCCGTTATTCTCGGGGACTGCTGCTCGCTCAAGCCGCTGGCCCCATGAGATTCATCGTTATGTCAAAGATCAAGTGACGTGTCGGAGCCGTGATGCTGTTGGTGATGATGAACCTGGGGCTGTGACTCCTCGCGCAGTAGCGGCTCTTCTTCGATCGGCATTTGCACTGCGAACAAAACTCTTCTCATGCACACGGAAGTCTCAAAGAAACTTTGGCGCGACGTATGGGCGGCATCACTATTTCCGTTTCCCTATATTGAAAGTAATTAAAATGCCTTCTCAAGTTTTTCAGATTTTACTTAATACCGACTTGTTTAAATTCACGCGTATATCTATATCCCTTCATGTTTTTATTGTTTCTCAAGTACTTAATAATTAAGTCGGTTCAAAAGCTTTCGATGTGCATCCATTATACATCGGCAATTGAGTATGATATTCAGGAAGAATGAAAAGAAGGAAAATTATTATTTTTTTTTTTTTTTTTTTTGAAGCTATTACGACTAAATTTTATATTTCCAGAAGCCTTATTTTCAAATATGCTAGGTGGTCGAGTAATTTATCAACTTGTGTTGCATTAGAGTCATCCTAATGCAAACAAGATCAATTATTATTATTGTTAAATTAATTTTAAATAAAATTATTTATTATTCGATGAAAAAATGTCTATTCGAGCTCGTGTCATTTACAAACAATGACTAAAACATCTAAATGTACCATTGGTTACATGGATAAATCTAACTTTTTGATATGAATATTTGTGCAGTCGAAAAATAAGCAAACGTTTTCGTAAGCGAATGTCAATAATTTAACGTAATTACGCAAACAAAAAAAATTTTGTTTTAAGTAAGAATAGATTTAATTGTACTTTAAATGTTACTTAAAATGTAATATATTTTTTAAATAATTAAATTAATGATAATTTTAATATCCATATATATATATATATATATATATATATATATATATATATATATATACCCACGTCCGTAGCGTATTTCGCTTGATAAAATACTTTTTTTGAAATTCTGTCAATTACAGACTTTGATCGCCTATTTTACAAACTATGTCCTTTTACGTATTAGTTTATGTTGATATTATAAAGCATTAAAAATAGCTATAAAGAGGAAAATATTTTTCAATTGATCTTGCACAGCATGCATATCTACGAGCTCCAAGGAAACCTTACGATTATGTTATTGAAATAAAATACTCATGCGGTAGAAATTATTTACATACCTAATAATAATAGATTGGTTGATTACGCGTTGCAATAAGCAATTATTATATACAGGCACTTATTCGTTTTATTATAGAGAGCAAGGAAAGGTATTTGTTTGTTTTTATACTTTTTAAAGGAAAAATACTTTTAAATTATTTCTCATAGAACATGCTTTATTGGAGCTCGTTGCCACATCCGATTGCTCGATGCTTTATAATACATTTTTTTTTTTTTTTTTTTTTTTTCTTTTTTCGAGCCATAAAAGTTAGAAAGATGCTTAGCATCTTGGTCTAAATGTAACCACGGTAACATATGTTACAGTAGCGTCTATCAAGTATTTCCTAAATACACGCTTAGGTCCACCTAGATTTATAAGATATTACGCGAGGCGTGAAAATTGTACCATGTTCTTTCTCATTTTTAAATAAAGTAATAAAGACTATGTGACTAATGCATGGCGCAAAGCAAAAGTCAAAGTTTATATATAGAATGAGAGAGGGGGGAGGGGAGGAGGGGAGAGAGATTTAGGATTTATATATATATATATATATATATATATATATATATATATATATATTAAACTGATTATCTAACTGACAAATAGGAACGACTAGGTTTATCAAAACAATATGACAATGTGTCATGCGAGAAATTGAAATTACATTGAAAGGAATTTTCATTGGAAACCAGAAAAAATACTTTTAGCCATACTATCAATAGGAAAAGAATATGTTGCAGTGTTCAAGCCCCAAACTGTACAGACTGCTAATTCTATCCTTAAAGTTGACGTCCTGCACTTACAAGTACTTATACATCTATTTTAAAAATGTATGCTCTTCCATAATGTAAAAATAAAGTGATAAAACTGCATTCGGTGCATTTTGATTTTTCATAAACCATCTATATGTACTATATTGAAATTTTGATTTACAAGCATTTATCACATGATACAATATTTAAAACAAAATGCAAATCTTGCCAATAATAGTAAACCCACCTGTTGGACCTTGACAATTTTGAAAATATTAAAGCGAATGTCCATTTATTTCAAAGACTAAGAATAAGAAATAGACGCAAAATTACGACATAGCGAATAGTTAATTTAGGTAACTAAATCCAAACACTCGTTCGTTATTTCGACAGATACTATTATCAAGTTATTCATGTACTAATAGGATAACTAGTTACATTACAGTTATACAAAACAAACTGCAAACTAGCTCTGGAATATTTTCAGAAAATATTATTACGCTAAAAAGAGTTACGGTTAAGTGCTGGCTTAACTGTGTCAATAAGCTTAATGTAAAGTAACAACGAAGTAAATCCGTTACTAGAATGGATAACGTATACCCAAATAATCATATAAATACAGGATTCAACTTGCCGAAACTTTATGATTCAAACATGAATCCATCCCGCTATAATCAACGTATTAAACGCAATTAATTCACATGGATGTTAACACAAAAGAAAGAATTATAAAATACAACGGGATGCAAATGACGCAATCCATGGTCAATATTGCCTAATCTAGTAAGAATATTATTAGGCTCTGAGGCCAATAACAACCAAGTAGCCACAAATGCCTTTATACATGGAAAATTGTTGATAATTACTAACAAGGCATATATTTATGACGCCTATCACATTATCAGCTCAAAGGGCAGATCAGCCAGTAATCGCTGATCTATTTACATAGTTAATGGTCGCTTGAATTTTTGTCATTTAATAAAAGGTATTTAATTTATCTATCGAGCGATTTCAAAAATATTAGCTTGTTGCTTTTTTTTTGTTTTTTTTTGTTTGTTTCTTTGTTTCTTTGTGTGTTTGTTTGTTTGTTTGTTTTTTTGATAGAAAATTAGTATTTACAAGCTTCAGGGCAAAATAGTACAAGAATAGTAGAGCAAAGGATAGAAAAAAGTGTGCGCTAAATTTTAGTGAAATATAATCTCTTTTTAAATAAAAGACAAGTAACAATTATTTATCGACATTTTTAAGACTCATAGACTGTAAAGTTCGTAAAAGCTACGCATTAACAGCACATGCGCAATCTAACTAATATCCTACATGCTTCTACTGAAAAAATTTTATTATCCAACATTAGTATAATTATTTACACTTTATTACGTTCATTAAGAAAATATGAAGACGTCATCTTGCGATCATCTTATTATTTATGATAACCAAAAAGCAAATATAGCAATATTTACAAAAATATTTAACTGTGAAAAATAATTCGACTCTTGTACGTAACTAGTTTATACAATTGTTTCATTAAGGCTTCAGAATATAAAAAAAAAAAAAAATAATAATAATTAAATTCATAATACGTTTGGCCTGAAATTATATGGGAATGGACTAAAATTTTTTTTTGTTTTTGTTTTTGTTTTTTTTTGCTTTTTTGTTTTTATACAACATAAAATAAGTAAAGTCATAAGAAATAACTGCAAATTACAACTTGTAAGATTAGGTTTTATAATTATAAAAAATAATTTAGCGATTCTTTTAAAAAAAAATTTAAAGAAATATGTTATTCGAAGCCTAAAAGTGCTTTTCACGTATTTGAGATTCGGTGGACGATCTTCTTTTTCTTTTGTTTTTTTTTTTTTGTTTTATTGTTTTGTTTGCTTGTTATTGTTCGAGATTACGCTGAAGCGCGTAAACGTCATGTGAAAAAAATTGTTTAATTTCGTTAAAATAGAAATAAAACATTTAAAAGTAAATTTTAGGAAGTTGGAACCCTCGCTAACGATGCTCACTCATCCAGTTCAAACAACAGTCTTAATTTGAATGTAAAAATAAGAAAAAACAATTGAATAGAAAAACCAATCAGCAACCGTTCACTGGTAATTCTTGATACCATTTTCGTCATATTAATCTCTCAGTGAAGAGGATTAAATAAAGAGGAAGAGAGCTAATGAGATTTTGAGTGTGTAATATGTCGTTTGTTTGGACAGCGAGCATGATCGATTACAACAATGAATGTACCGTATTTTCTTGGTATTAGAATTATATACACATGTCACGACAATTAACGCTTCCCTTTCTTATTTTTTTCTTTTACTTTTTCTTTTTCTTTTTCTTTTTTTGCCATTTCTCCGAGCTTTCTACTCGTTTTACATTGCGAGTAGTGCATTCATTATTACAATCGTTACTTAATATTTCTTTGATAACCTTCTACTTTGAGATCGTGTAGTAATCGTAGTACCGTTTTTCTCAACAACAGTTTGTGTACCACTGTTACGTTGATTTTGATAAAGTTGATGCGGGTCAATTATTGGTATTTTAAAGAGGTGAATGTTCAAGTTATCGCATATTTCCGTGCAAACTTGTGCGCTGTACCGAAGTAAATCCAAGGTAACCCAAATCTGCAATAAATGTCACATAATGGTGCGTTACAATAATTAATCATGTAATAATAGTCGAGAGAGAGAGAGAGAGAGAGAGAGAGAGAAGAAATAAAAAGAAAAGCAGAAGATTATACGCATGTAGAGTCTCGGTTTTGTTGGCGAACAAATTATATATTTAATGAAGCACAAATTATATATTAAATAATGAAGAACTTACAAAGCATAGCCAAAGAACATAATATTCTTTGATAAAGAAATTAAAGTACTGGTTGAGGAACAGCATCGCTGGTCCTATTAATGAACTATCTAGATATTGCATCTCGTTTTTCGTCATGTGAGCAACCTACCAAACATAAGATTACAATGTTACACCGCTAGTTACTAATAAAATAAAATAAAAAAAAAATAAAAAAATAAAAAAACATTACTTTCCACAATCAATGTGCAATGTATCTATGTATTAACACATCGGAATATATAAATATCCTTTAAATACGTACCACAAGGCGATTTGTGACTTTGGCAGCAACCATTCCAAATGAGAGTATATACAATGCTGGATGATTTTCGTAAACGTGCTCGGCACTTTTTCTGTAGATTATGAAGGCCGGCACTACAACGAAGCTAAATGGTATGATGGGCGACAACACGGATGTTCCCTGAAAAATGTCGGACGCTTAAAGCACTTTTCAGAATATTCAGTTTTTAATCTCACATTTACTCGTTGTGCCAATTGTGAATTGTATCGCGTAATTTGTACAATTATAAGGATTAAGCAATAGTGCAATTTGTTGATATGCATCAATAGTACGTTTTATGTTAAAAAGCCATAGATAATATAAACAAGACAAGACCGTCATTACAAAAAAAAAAAAAAAAAAAAAAAAAAAAAAAAAAAAAAAAAAAAACTAAAATAAAGTGTAAGAGAATGTCAAAATAATAAAGAAAAAATATTCTGTTCTCTTTCAGAATCTAAGAATAATTTATACAACTGCGTGCAAAATACATGTCATCGAGAACTCGTTAATATTAATATACTTTTATCTTTAAAATATCACAAAAAAAAAAAAAAGTTTTAACATTATTCCTCAATTATTTAAAAGTAGAGAATTTTTTTTTTGTTTTTTTTTTGTTTTTTTTGTTTTTAATTTTATATCTATTCTTAATGAAACCAAAACTCCAAGGCATATTAAATATTAATTCTAGAATTCGAGCATTTGTTAACAAAATTATTGCAACGTAGCCAAACAAGTAATTTACATAAAATCAAGGTTTTAGCCAAACTCTTGCCCATTGTTTTTAAGTTAATATTTTTCACAACATTTTTATTATTTACAATTAATATGTTTCTACGTATAAAACGGTCGTATCAGTGTATTAATTCCATTAGTTTAACGTCATTATCTTTGTTCTAAATACTGGCTTATTTTTACATATTTTAAATTATTTTTAAAATTTCTAAAGTCATTTAAATTTGCAAATTTTGAAATACTTATTTTTACAAAAATAAGACAATGTTTCCATAATAGTTTGCTTAACATTTTTTATGACGATCTTAAGCCTTAAAGTGAAGAATTCCATAGCTAAATAAGATTTGAAACATTGAATTATGTATAACAATATTCAATTAAGAAAATACGTCACTCTAGATTGATTATAAATAAAAAATTCAAGAAATTGACATTTACTTATTTCCATATATATATATATATAAAGAATTATAAAAGTATATAAGTTAATTAAGAATATACGATTATAATGTACATTATAGAGAATTTTTTTTAAATAAAAACGGGAACAAATCATATTTATAATACGATAATTACTGCATTTCTATAAATATTTACATAAATATAAATTTTTGTCATACTCGTTATCGATAATTTAGAAAGAAAAAAAAATATCCACTGTAAGCACAGTGGATGATTAACGTGTTATCCAAAATATTATCCAGAAAATACTTTAATCGCCATAACGATACATATGATGTTCTTTAAACTTTTATGCACTTCTTCGTATTAATAACAATAATAATCGATCTATTTAAAAAAATCTAGAGTGCCAATATAATCTAATGCAATAAATATATATTATTATAATACTATGTAAAATATCGTTGTATCATAAGTATTTAAAGTGTCGATTAATTACATTATTTTAGAATCATTAACATTAAACGTAAAAGATTCTATTTTGTCAATGCTTGTATTTACAAACCAAATTCTAATTCTATGCTTACTTATATATGAAATGAAATTTTATAAAACAAAATTTTATATAAAAATAAATATACGTGACTTTTCAGATTACTACTTCTAAGTAAGTGCATTAATAAATTGTTAATTAATAACAATTTAAAAGAAAAATATATTAAAGTCATGCATTAAACAAAGAATATACAGACATTGTACAGTTTATAAAAATGTTCTTACATATTAATTACAAACAATTAAGGTGTCAATACTACATATAATAAAATAAAATACAACTAATTAGATCAATAATTTAAACACAAAATAAAGAAAAATCAGAATAAAAAGAAACCCGAATATAGGAAGCAAAAAGAAAGAAAAAAAGAAGAAAAAAAAACAATATAAAAACTAATAATTAGACGAACGAATGCATGAAGGTGCAAAGTAACATGAACGATGATGAAATTCTATGTTGATTTAGGCCCGTTCATTTGAATTGAAAAGATGAAGATAAAACTAAATTATTTTAAGTGAAAGTTATATGAAAAATCTAGCAAATAATTGGTTTGATAATTAAATAAAAATTCCTTTTAATTTTGCTAAACTGACGTAACAAAAAAAAAAATACAAATATTAAGAATGGCAATTACAGATTTGGAGAATACGCGTAATTATTATATAAAAATTGATTGTACAACTTTAATTACCCATATTTCTATATAAAGTAAGAAAACAATTATTAAGGGCTCTTAAAAATAAAATTATATTACAAATTATGAATTAAATTTGAATTTCATCTTAAAGTCGTTTGCTTAACTTAACGATATGTATCTTAATAATAATTATCATAAGAAAATTTAATTCTGATTGTTAAATGTAATCAATTTCAGTATTTCGTACACGAATATTTTAAAAATGAATATTGCATCTACCATTTGAAATATTCTAATTTTTAATTAGATTTATAATCAAAATTAGATACAATAGATTTACTCTTACTCTCGCGCATATGAATTAGTAAATGTTGCTCTTTAAGAAACGATTTAAAAGAATTATTTAATAATGTTTGGACTATTTTTAATGAATTTACGTGATTTAATGTAGGAGAGCATGGAAATTGACAAATATGCAAACGTTTTGATTTTAATATAAAAATCATAATAAATATCGACAGTTAATTAGACGTGTAGTTTAAAATCCTTTATAAATAAACAAACTATCGATGAAATAAGATAATAGAATTCAGTAAAATTAGTCATTTCTGAAATGCCTAAGACTAAGTAAGACATAACGTAAAAAAAAAAAAACAAAAAAAACAAAAACAAAAACAAAACGTTATGATGAAAAAAAAATAAAAACCCCTATGAAATATGCGAAAATAAATAATAATTTTTGTACCGATTGATATACGTAACTAAAGAAAGAAAGAAAAAATTAATTAGAACGTTTCTAATGAATAAAAATCGTATCGAATATAAGATTAAGATGAAGAAAAGTGCTTAGTAGTCGTGACTCGTTATAATTATTTGAAAGCACAAACTGCAATTCGATATCCCACATCCGCAAATTCTTCTAACTAAAAATTTGTTTTTAAAAAGCGCAATGCAATAGGTAGGAGGAAAGCCTTTGTAATTCTATGTAAATGTTAGATTATTTTGTTGACTACGGATCTGGAATGTATTAAGCTCGAGTTGACATGTAAACGCAAGGGAAGATAAGGAAAGAAGGAGAAGAGCCATGACATTAAAATGACAATTTAGTAGCTAGAGTCGGCTCGAATTGGGCCTAAATCGTTGGCAAGGTAATAATAAAAGGAGAGATGCATTAAAGAAATCGGTCCTACAATGATGATTCGCTGACTTACGGCGACGGTGGAGCCATTTTTGCCGACACCACCGGCGAGAATGACGGACATACTGCTGAGCGCAAGCAAAACTGCGACGCCCACTGCGCCCCATAATGGGAAGATCTTCATCTCTGTGCCAGTGTATGGCAACTACATTATGGAAAAGTGAAATTTCTTTTTGTTAGTTTAGGTAGTGATGGCTGATGAGTTCGATGGATGTGCTTAGTGTTTTCAGTGTTCGTATGTAAAAGTGTGAGGAGTTATTGACAAATGCTCTACGATTGTCGATAGAAAATGATAGGAAATAAGGGCTTTCGAGCTTCCGGAGCTTCGAAGCTCCTTCAATTCAAAATGATTTTTCATTGTTTTGGATAAGCCTTGTGTATTTTCAAGTATCTGTTGGTATTCGGATTTTGGGTACACAGCCCGGATAGTTTTATGAATCTGACTTGTATGATGATGATACTTCTATGCTCAAAAAACTTTCTTTAATAATAAATTTCTCGTCGTTTACGATAGTGTTGTCGAGCCGAGGGGAAAGCATTTATTTAATCTCGATGCATTTGTTTACAGTACAGTACGGAGCAATGAATTATTTGAACATTGAGTAATTGATTGTGGGTAATGTTAAATTATAAAATTATATTGTGAAAATGTTTAAGTCAATGAGGTATTCGATCATTTTAACGTGATAAATGAGAGCAACGTTAATTAAAACGTTCTTCAAAACTTTATTGTATGAATTGTCCTTTAAATACAATAGACTTGTGAGAATTTCAATACACTTGTTATTATGCACATATATATATATATTTTTTTTTTATCGTAAACTTATGTTAATCGTAAACAATCATGAATTACGTATATGTAAGTAATAAATAAAATGACATTTTACGTATTTAACAATAGGGACCTCCGATTATCAAATCTTACTTTTGTTTATATATATATATATATATATATATATATATTTTTTTTTTTTTTTCATTACTCCCTTTTACTTCTAATATTCATGATAAATGAATGAAATGCTTCATCTACATTTTTCTTATCGCAATTGATACTCATGGCAGATGAATTTTTTTACTTTAATTATTTCTAACATAACTAATCATGTATTAAAAAATAAAAACTATGGAATTAGTTGATTATTAGTAAAATATGTATAAATCATGCAGCTAATATAATCGCTGTAAACTGAATATAAACTTAAGAGTAAGCGTTAAGTTTTTTTTTTTTGTTTTTTTTTTTTAACATTCTAGTCAATATATAAATATTAAAAATTGACCGATGGATATCCGTTAACATAATTAAAAACGCATATTTATTGCTGTTCAAATCACTGTAAAAACTATTATTAATAAAGACAACACATTGTGATCAACATATTTTGTGTTAATAGAGCGAAATGGAATGATTGGACATTTTAAATAAAAATTACAAATGCGATTAATTTTCAACAATGTAAAAGCTATTTGTAAATCAGCTAAATCGATCGGTATTTTTAACGATTTTGCTTATCGATAGAAACTGAGATTGTTATGAGTATTCGACAGTGGCTAAAGGTTTACAGAAACTTTTCAAGCTCTTAGTAATAAAAAATATAATAACACCAAATATACTCGATATGACTTTTTTGTCGCCCATAAAGTCGGAAAAACTTGTGCAACTATTATCAAATTATATTCAATCTAAAATGCAAATGAAAGATATAAAAAGAGGGTTTAATTTCTTGAAAATTCTGCCACTTGGATACCTGTATTAGTTTAAGAGAAATTACGTAAAGAGAAGCGTCCAAAATTTTCAAAATATCCATTCTACTGCCAATACTTTAATCAGCACTTACACCAAGCTAAACATTCTAATAATCAACCTTCCCCTAAAATGTTCATGAGATATTAAGAATAAATAGAGGCCAGATTAGATATAAATATAGTATGTACAATAATTATAAATTATTCTGGTAGAAGCATACATAAAAAAATTAGTCAATTGGGTTACATTCATGCTGCAATGTAATACATTACAGTGATTTTTAATCAACTAATCCCCATGTTCATAAGCGATATAAATTGATTAATAATTAGGCCCATTGTAAAAAAAAATTAAGTTTATGGTTAAATATGAAATTGTTGTTTTCGAAAAGAGCATTTGCAAATTTCATAATTACAATGAAACTTGAAAAATTTTCACCGACTTATAATACAATTTTACAATTTTACAGTATCGTATAGTTTCATATTAAAAGATGATTTGATCTTTATACGTTTACAGAAAGAGAGAGAGAGAGAGAGAGAGAGAGAGAGAGAGAGAGAGAGAATAGGCCTAATATCCAATTATCTTTGTGTACAAAGTAATTTCATAAATAAAATCTTTATGAATTTCTTTCTCCTTTGGTAATTACATTATAGTTTTTCAATTTTTCAGTGCACACAATAAAGTTAAATAGCTCTATGGATTAATAAATATTATTTAAATATTTCATGTTATATGTATGTATATATATATATATATATATATATTTCCTTTTAAAATAAATCACTAAGTAAAAAATAATAATCGAGTAATTAAAGTGAATTGAATTAATGTAAGATAATTATTGAAGAATTATAATAATTAAAGTATTACTTTTTAAACGATGACAAAGAAAATTAGAAAATTATGGAACCTACGCAAAACTCGAAAAATTTAATTAATTAAAACAGAAAGATAAATTAATTTTCTCTAAATGTATGAAAAATCGTTAATATATAAAACGATATATACCAAATGTCTTTATAAGATAGGCTCAAAGTTTATTGACATTTATTAAACAAAAATCGAATCATCTTGAATTACAACATTCTCTTATCATCATCTTTTTATGATAGTAATATTGATTGAAACTTACTGCAATCGTCGAACCGTTCTTTCCGACCCCACCAGATTCAAAGACCTTACAGAACTGAATGAACACATTAACGTAGCCAGCATAAAATATTACTGCTACGAGGTTACCAAGGGTACCCATGCTAGGCACTGGTATCTAAACAGATTTGATAAATCTTTCTCGTTAGAGATGTAACATGATACGGATTACTTTCGTCGACGCTTAACAATCTTTAACAATCGTAGCCACTTTTACTTTCAAATGGTACTTCACTTTATATGCGACGACAGTCAAAATACTCCCATCCGCGTACGCTACACACGCGCTCACACACGTACACATTCGAAATTTAGAAAACGTATTAGAAATCCGATTGAAGGAATCCGAAGAGGAAACAAATCACAATGATTTAAAGACTTCGTACGTTCCTTTGCTTAAATTCGATATTTATACCTCTTTTTTTTTTTTTTTAATTTTACCTCCTCGTCTAATGGGACAAACTTATCTATCTCTAATCATATATAAGAATTTATTTATCTTCTCTCTTAACTGCTAGTCTTAACTCCTATTTTCATAATAATCGTACTAAAATCGGCGGCCTGCACAAGGGGCTGCTGAGTTAAAAATTTGTAAATTTCAGTCTCTCTCCTTTTATTCTTATTTTCTTTTTTTCAATGTTCATAAACGATATTCGATCAAATGAATTTTCTTTAGCCAACACTAATGGTAACTTGAATATAATAATCCGATGATGAAAAAGTGTTTTAATCCATCTAAAATACTCAAATATTAAGTTTCCATGTAATTTTACTAAAGGAAAATGGCTTTGACTAAAGAAAGAAACTATATATTTGTGCCAAGTAGTTCACAATTATATTCAAATAATAGTCGAAAGGAAAGACGATCAGTCACCACAGAATGAAACAAGCATAAATTTATAAAGAAAGTTACATAAGAAATTTGACTTACGAAACTTAAGAAACTGCATAAGTAACGTGGACTACGATACCATAAGAATAACAAAGATTGTGATTAAAATTAGTGAAATGATAGCCAAGTAATTTGTTCGCTTCTAAGAATATATTTACCCCGTGCAATAAATGTAATAAATACAACTTGCATTTTTGTTTTTATCAGATTACTGTTAGTAACATGGATAAGTAATAAAACGCAGCAATATATTTAATTGAAAGATGTAGCCAATAAAATCTAAGGTTTGATGCTGATTTTCTTTCCTTTTAATTGAACGATGGCCATTCATGATGTAGGAGTTATTATTAATGCGATGTGATACAATGATGTTAAAAAGAATGATTTGATCTATATTATAGAACATGGCTGAAAAAACCAGATATTGCGCTCTAAGAATCAAGCTGTTAAATTTACTGAATAGGTACTTCAGTTATATAAAGACAAAGAGATAAAAAAAAAAATGCCAATTTCGAGATTAGTATAAAGAATGCAGCGTGTCAGTAATTAAGTTCAGCACCGCTCCTCATGCCATGCCATCCAGACTACACCCTTTTTTTTTTTTTTTTTTTTTTTTTTTTTTTTTTTTTTTTTTTTTTTTTTTTTTTTTTCTCCACAACACATTTCTTTACCCAACTTCAACCAAGAGTCTATCTATCCAACTTACAGCCACGGTCGAACCATTCTTGCCCACTCCCCCGGTGAAAATCACCGAAAAGATGGGATATAAGTTTGCCAATGTACACATCACTGTCATTACTCCTATCATATATTTAAACTGAAAACCCTCTAAAAATGGTATCTGCAAGAAATTAATTCGTTAGCCTTGAAGGAACACTAAGTATTTTGCTAATTCCACTGTATGAATTACATTAACTGTATACTTAATTTATTTTATGGAGATGAGATTTTACTTTTGAAAAATTTCCTTCAATTAAAAATCTATACTTGTTTCATTTTCACTATCCTTTTTAATAGCTATTTTATAGCATTTAATAGCTATTCCTTAGCGGTTCATGATGTTCGCACACATATGGAGGTTATAGTGTGATAAATAAATTATTGAAAGATAATACTTGTGTTAAACATCTCTTTAAAGTGTGGTCAACATAAAAATAAAAAATAAAAAAAAAAGAGAGAAAGAGAGAGAGAGAGAGAGAGAGAGATGCGCACATTAATATACACAATTTTTACAGTTATTTTTAACATTTATATGAAATTGTAAAATTATTCACATTTTTTCTAAAGCGTGTCAAACAAATATTTTGTGTTAATTTTGAAACATTTATTAGATTTTTGTTTTCGTTTTCTTTACTCTTGCTCGGATTTAATTTACTTTTACAAACTCTAATAGAATATTAAAACAAATATTTTTTTACTATTAAACTTTGATCGTTATACATTACTACTGAGTAATGCCAATTAGTAAAAGTTGGAGACAGTACGATGAAATTTGCAAAAACAAAGTCACTCTCTGTTTTATTCTAAACACTTCAAAAGTTTTCCATAATTGAAATGGCTATCAAGCAAAAGTGTAGTAAAATTTATTCTAGTAGAAATCCATTGATACGAAATTATGTTGTAAAAACCGGTTTCAAAAATACATTTGAAAAATATAAAGATAATTTTAATTCTGTCATTACACCGATATCGCTTTAATCTATTTAATTATTTTCAACGTTAAAAATAAGTGATAATAAAATAGATAAAAAATATACAACCTTCCGCGTCCAAATTTCAGGTCCGAAAATAGCGGATATAAGATGTATCGTAATTATTGTGAATTGAGCCTCGGTCACATCAATTTTGCCAAACCTCAATGAGCCTGAAATATAAAAATGAACAATCTGTACAATTTAAAAATCCCCACAAAATAAGCAAATTAATTTTAAATAATGTTCGATTGGATAAAGATAAAAAGTATTAATTACCTGAAACATATGTCTGCCAATGTGCACAATAAAAAAGAGTCATTGCGCAGAAACATTGGAAAAACATCCAGGTCGGATAGTAACCTAATTGTACCGCAATGCATGCTGATAAGGCAACGAATACTGAAAATATATTTTGTTAATGTAAATTAATCGATTAAATCGCATGCAAGAAAATAAATTACATATGCCTACGTGTATTATTGAAATAAGATTATAATAATTTTCAGAATTTTTTAACATGATTTTTTATTGTTTGATTAGAGTTGATTGATAAGAGTGCAAACAATGCTTACTCGTGTTTTTTCTTAATCAATAATAATGTAATTAATTACATATTTTCTCTATCTGTGTCTGTCTGTCCGTCCGTCCGTCCGTCCGTCTGTCGTGCGCGCGCGCGCGCGCACACACACACACAAAGTCTCTTTTTGATGTCTGTATGACTGTCTTTCTCTAAATTATTTGAATTAATATTAATGTATAGTAATAACATTTACTGTACATTTATCTGTAAATTTCTCTGTACATTAAAAAATATGCTTCCTTTACTATTTATTCTAATTATAACCAATACTGCATATGCATTCAAAAATAATATATACGTATTTTAAATTAATTTTAAACTACAAAAAAAGACTATTAAAATGCATGCCTACATTTTTTTATAATTCATGCGCCAATGACTAAGCGGACATAGTCAATAAATATTTGTGAAAAGAGTTAATACATTTTTTAACGTATTCTTTATGTGTAAATTCAGTTCTTTTATGGCTAATCTGCACAATTTAATGATTAATAAATTCAAAATCATACCTGTTGAAATGGAATCGCAGCCATGATCGAAAAGTTCACCCAATGGCGTAGAAGTTCCCGTTCGTCTTGCTTGCTTTCCATCAATAGCGTCTAAACTTTGGTAAACAAAGAGGCCAACGGCACACAGAAAGCACGCCCATCTCGGTGACTAGTGAAAGAAGTTGAAAAATATTTGCAATGAAATAATAATCAATCAATAATAATAATAATAAGTAATTCATTATTTAATCATGCATGGAATAAACTTTTGATTCATAAAATAAAAGTTGAATTCCTTGATTTACCAGCGTTATGAAATTTACTTTAAAACTGTCTTTAAAATCGCTAAAGAATTAATACAATAGAATTAACGGTCGACGCTATATCGGTAAAGGCTATATCGATTTTCAGGTAATATATTATGAATTCTCGTACGACATTATTGTATCAAACTACACCTATTTTGAAAATTGTCGTTTGCTTCATTTACAAAGCGAATGCATTTACATAACAGTAATAAATATGGATAAATGGAAAAATGGCTATTCATTCTAAATATATTGATTAACTAACAATACAAACGACGAAGAGTAATTTTCAACTAGTATCGAATATTATTTGACACTACATCGAAGACAATTACTTGCTTTTAAGGTGATACGATACACAAGCGTTAATGCAATGACTCAGGATAAGCTCAAATAAGACATTAAAGCTTTTAATTATCAAATATCCATTGTGAATTATTTTAAAGTGGAACTGTCTTAGCTACGTGTCATAATATACATAAAAATCATCAAGCAACAACGCTGAATTGAAAAATAACTTTAAAAATTAATTAGCAAAAAAATCATTTACGTTTTTTTTCTTTTTTTTTAACACAGGCTGCAGCATTAAATTGAAAGAAATATTAAAAGCACTTTTTTTCATTTGCAACGATGTCTAATGCGCATAAAGGTTAAAAAAAAAAAAACTTATCCAAATAATTGATATTGTACACAAGTGCAATAAAAAGCGATTAAAATGCATTAACGTTAATCGTCTGTCTACCCATCGTTTCTGAGAAGCCGTGAGAAAAACGATAACTAAAGTCCATCGTAAGCTAAGTACGTATAAATAAACCGTAATCAATAAATGATTGAAAGGGAAACGTTTCCTTTCGACTTGCCAACGTCCTAAATCACGTAACGGCTAACTAGGACGAGGACGAGGACGAGGACGAGGACGACGACGACGACGACGACGACGACGACGACAACGACAACGACAACGACAACGACAACGACGACGAAGACGAAGACTACCAAGACGACACATTTTCCACGACGGGATTATTATTATTATCGGCATTACTGTCATCGCTTATAAAGAAAACGCCGACTAAACACTTGAAAACATAGCCACTTGGAGTTGAGCACTTTTGAAAAATATCGAAAACACAAGCCCTAATGCCGATCGAGCAATAACGCCTGTAAAAGCGCACGCACACGCATACGGCCTTGCTAGTACCTCGGCCTTGGCGTCGGGGCTGTACCAGACGAGGACGAGAGTCGTGACGATGTTGACGAAGAGCCCGAGGACGGTGATGAGGTTAGGCGCGAGCCAGATGGGCACCTTGCTCACCAGCCAATCCCACCAGGGCTGCAGCAGGTTGTCCAGGAGGCTCGCGCTCGAGCAGCTGTACTTGTGCTCGCTGAGCCTCTTGAGTTGACCGGGGGAGAGGATCTTCTCCTTGTAAAAGAACTGCATGTCGTGGCCGCGGAGTCGCTCCCCGCCGATAATTCACCTCGCGACACTCGCCTTCCTCCCTGTCTCCCTTTCCCACCTCCTCCTCCTCCTCCTCCTCCTCCTCCTCCTCCCTCGACCCGTCGTCGTCGTCGTAGCCGCCGCTCTCTTCTTTTTTCTTGTTTTTTCTTTCTTTTCTTTTTTTCTGCTCGAAAGCGAGGAAAGGTTGCGTTAGGCGCGCGGGCGCGCGGCTCTCGTTACCTCACGGGCGACGACGACGTCGGGCTCGCTCTTCGCCTCTCCACCTCGACGATACGCTCGCCTCCTCTTCTTATCTTGCCACGCGCGATGATTACCTTCGTACCTGCGATCCGTTAAAATCACCAGCGCAGTGACACGCATCGATTACGATACGCGTATTATTTCTCTTCGCGCTAACCGCTGTGTGCACTAGTCAAGAGCGAAAAATCTCGTATTCCCCTTCCTTTGCTCGCTCACTCGCTCGCTCTCTCTCTCTCTCTCTCTCTCTCAAACACACTCACACTGTGTACGACCTGTGACGTTCCCGATACGCACGCGCACACGCCAGACAGAGATAGAGTGATAGAGAGAAGAAAGAATTTGTGTGCATGTGCGCGCTTGCGCGAGTTGTTGGAGGGAAGGCGGGAAGGAGAGAGTAACGGACTAAAGCACGCAACGAGCGTGCTTTCTCTCTCGTATGGTAAGATTCTCGATAGCTTAGAATTTACGGTCTGCTACTGCTCTAGGTAGTCCGATAAGCGCACCTTTATATTGCGCGCGAAGCATCATAGGCCGGTGCTTCGCGAAATACCGGAACTCCTTGACGCGACACACCGACGCACGCACACACACTAGAATGGAGAGTCAGCAGTGGACAGGCAGCGTACCAACACCATCGCAGCTCTACACTCCTACGAGCTCCAACTTCCACCGTTGATTCCGTGTTCCGTCTTGCGTGGTGCAGCGAAGAAGGGGGTATAGGTGGCAAGGGGTAATCGGGGGAGGGGGAAACATCCCATCGACACGCGTAAACTCGTTATACAGCAATGGCGAGGAGGATGGTGAGGAGATTACCTCCTCCATGATCGGGTTTTCCTGCTACTCGCGCTCTCCTCTCCTTCGCGCGATATTGCACGTTCTGCTCTTCGCGCACTCTCTCTCTCTCTCTCTCTCTCTCTCTCTCTCTTTCTCTCTCATCCCATCTCTCTCTCTCTCTCTTTCTCTCTCATTCCATCTCTCTCTCTCTCTCTCTCTCTTTCCTTCTTTTATTCTCGTCTCTCCCCCTCGGCTGTTTTTCTTGCACTTGCGCGCAATTTGTCGAGGGCGATTCGCGCAAGGACTCGATCGAAGCCTCCTCTCTCTTTCACACGAATATCATATGCAGCGAGACGACCGCTTGTTTGTTTACGTCCGTCGTCGTACGCGCGCGTGCGCACGCGAACGAGCGTATATTTACCTATAGGTTGGTGTGGGAAAGGGCGGAGAGAAGAGGGACGACGGCGCACGTGCGATGCTCTGAAGAGGTTAAAAAGAGGATGATTTACCTCAATGTGGCGACAAAGTCACGGATGAATTTCCTACGTTGTACTTTGGTTGCTTTCGGTAATGAAAGATTCCTTTCTCGTCTCCGTCCAAGTAGCCATTATTTTCATGCAAATTGCGGCGCGATCAAATACAAATAATACGATGAAAAATTAAGAGAGAGAAAAAAAGGTGAAAGGAGCAAATGTCCGAGGAAATGAGATTTTAATGCCATAAGAGGAAGCACAAGTCCGAGACTCGATTGAAAAAGTCAAGATTGTTAATTGGAAAATTTTCTCGATCGTTTAAATTATCGTTTCCAGACGCATCGGATGACAATGCCGGCTTGGCGATAGTCATTATCGAATAATAAATTACATTCCATACTATATGGAATTGCGTTGGATGGCTAATTTTATTTATCGTAAGCAAATAAAGCAATGTTTAAATTATTAATATCGAGTAATTTTAATGTTTAAGATCAATAACCTTTAACTTTTAAATATACCACTTTATACTTTCTAATTATCATCGAATCGAAGAAATCGATCATTTTAATTTAGTTGTATTTATTTAGTTGCTTTTAACCCACCGTGTACACGCCTCTTACTCCATTGCATTGCAAATAAAAATAACTCCGTGCGTTGTCTGGCTAATCCGACTCGCGTACGTAACGCAATTGCAATTATTTTAAAAGATATCGAGCGAGATGCTTTGAGATAGTGAGTATCGATTATTTATCTTGCCTGCACTTAAATTATTATATCGATGACTGTTGCTTATTTTAAAAAATATAACTTTTCAAATTGTTAACAAATCTGATTGTCGTAGTGTAATTGTAATGCTATTCGTCACGGAAATGAATGTTAATTCCCTCTTGTTTTGTGGTTTATAACATTAACAGCTCATTCGAGCTTTTAATTATAAAATTTATTATCATAACTTATTAACGTAATTATGCAATGTACATATTCAAATTCAAAATTAATAAAACGATACTATTTTATATAACCTTAATTCCAGATGTATTATCGAACGATCGTCGGAAGCAAATAGGGAGACGACGAATTTTTTAAATTTTTATCCACAGTTATTTTTAAATTCGTTTGTAATTGTCATCATAATGAATTTCGCAAAAATACTTTATGGTCTGAAATTGAATGAGAAGTTTTTACTTTCTTTACGGAAAGTACCGAAAGTACGAAGAACCTTTCTATCGGAAGCTTATCAATGTCAAGAAGCATGGAACAACAGATTGAAAAATTCGTTGCTATCAAAAATAAATGTCGACGACTTTTATTTGGAATTAAATAATAAGGTAGAAAGTAATATACTTGTGCCAGCGATAGATATCGATATCTTTACTAATTGCGTGCAAAAGCATAACTATGTCGAGGAGATTGGAAATCTACTTCATAAGCTAAGATTAACGACAGAAACTTCAAATACATTAGATTCAACCCATCATGCAGTTGTACGATATTTTATTGATGTAAGTGAAAATATTTGTTATAATTAGATTACATTATTCGACATTATTCGTTAAGAATGCCTTATTCGTTATTATTTAACTATTTTACTTTTCAAAAGATTTTTATTAATGTTTTAAAAATAAATGTATATTTATTTCAATTTGTTCCAATTAACTAAATAGTCCTTATCTTTTATTTGTTTATTTAAAAAATTTTTAACCAAAATAATAAATATAGTAACGATGAATTTGTTATTATCATTGTAGATGGGAGAAGCTCAGTCGCTTTTAAGTATTTTAAATGACAGATTAAATTATGGAATCTTTTGTGATTACTTATGTTACAATTTATTAATGGACCATTTTATAAAAAAACAAGATTTTGCTTCGGCGGCTAAAACGGCGACATTTATGATGCTTCAAGAAGAATTTGACAATCCAATTAGCAATGCCTTAGCAATCTATTCTTGTCATAATTATCTAAAAAATCCAGACACTTGGATAGAAAAAGATCCTGAAACATTAAAAAATGAACCCAAAGAAGAAATTAAAATACGCGTTAAGTATTTAAGGAATCCGTACTTTGATGATCATTTTGATTTGTGGAAGCCGTCGGATCTAGTGGGTAAGACCCTATGGTGGATCGGTGAAACAATGAATGATGTAATCGGAAGGTCGTGTCAACTACGAGGCTTAATATTATATAATAAATATTCAGAGGCAATTGAATTGCTTAAAAAGTGGAAAGATGAAGAAATTCAAAATGTTGTTTACAAGGAAACGATACCTTTAATTGAAAATGATGCGCCGGATATGTTTATTTCTGGTGAAAATTCTACAGAATCGCAAAGAGAATGTCAATTATTAATAACAGATTTACAGCATTCAGATTTAAATAATGGAAATATGGATGAGGATATTACAAACTTAGTCAAGAAAGCAGTTGATGCACATTCTCAAGAAGATATTACAAATCAAGTTCAGGTACACTGCTTTATAATATAAAACATGTATATGCAATATATCAAATTTAACGAAATTTAAATTAATAATTGGATTAATTGTAAAAAAAAAAAACAAAAAAAAAACAATTTAAATTCATAGTCAGTGAAATAATCCCAATTAAATGAAATTCCAACGCTATAAAATTCAGTTTTACTCAGTATATCGACAATCCATTATACTTTTAATTTGTCATTTCTAAATTTGATTTTCTTTTCTTTTTTTTTTTTTCTTTTTTATATGTACCGACAATCATAATAATCATTATATAAATATTTAATAAGCGTTTGAATTTTTTACTTCCAATTGGTTCTTATTTTAATGCTGACATTTTTCCAAATATTTCATTTAAAACTGTTTTCTATTTTAAACAAAACTCCTTTATTTTTAAACTCATTATCAATATTAAAATAATCATATTATAATAGAAGGTACTGTTCAAACAACAAATATATTATTTTGTTTGTAATAATTGTTTTTAATTTCATTAATTGCTAGATTTATGAAGAATGGATTGATGTTAGAATGAAGATTCTTAGGGAACAACATAAGGAACGAGAGAAGCAACAAAGATTAGCAAATATTGAAAATATAAAGAAAGAACTTGAGGAAAAAGAACAACTTCTTACATTCTTTGATAACGAGGATAAAATCGAATTGCAAATTGAGCAAAAACTTGAAAAAGAAAAACTCTTATATGGCGAAGTGAAAGTTACAAAGCAGGAAGAAGATTATGTTCCACCAGAAATTAAAAAACGACAGAATCAATGATTTATATATGAAAAAGGGCAGTATGTTAATATATAATTTAGTCAAATCAATAAAAATTCACACGAAATATTTACCTATGTAAGAATTATAAATCTAATGTTAAGATAATTAGTGTTTAATCACAATAACGTACAATGTTAATAAATAATTGTTTTGTATAATACTTCATAATTGATAATTACGTTTACTATATTAAAATTTAATTCCTATGTCTCTATAGTATATAAATTAAGTATTTAGTACGGGTACATTTTAAAGCAAAAAATTCCATTGTTTTTTGGTGAATATATATACATATATATATATATATATATATATATATATATATATATATATATATATATATCGAGTAATTTTAATTTTCAGTTTAAGATTAAAAAATTCAAAAATTAAACAGTACATGTGTTATCCAAGTGTGTCATAGTTTTCTCATACAATAATCTGTAGAGTTTCAAATTTAATAATTAAAATTTTTTAATATTTTCTCGGGTATGTATATATGATTACTGTGTTAATACACACAAATAAATGTAAGAAATTTCCTTCGTTAGAGAAAAATTTTTCATATAACGTTTGATAACAAAAGTCCAGCATAAAAGTTTTGTATATTTAAACACATTTTTACATTTACATATTTAAAATATAAAGTATCAAACATAAAAAACAATAAATATTCGATACTGCATATGATATGCAAATTTATTATTATTGAATCAGTAGTATATTAAATGTATAATTCTTTTGTTACATACAATTTTCAATATTCCAATTGTTTTATTTTGTATAGTGGTCTACACCATCATTTCTATAGTAATTATGATTTTTTGTTTTGTAGTTGAGCAGTTAAAATTGCAGTCTCTTGTCTCATTTGATTTAAATCGGCTGTTATCCTTTCTAAATTGGCCCCAATATTTTTTGTAGATTCCGAATCAATCTATAATGAATTATTTTTTTAATATAAAAAATATAGGACTTTGTCAAATTTTAGTAAAAGATAAAAAAAAAAAAAAGAGAAAAAATATTAATAGTGGTTGACTAGTGTGGTGAAGTTCATATTTTTTTCACAAATTTAATTTCAAATACCGAATTATTTGAATGAAACGTACTAATGCTCATTAAGTGATTGATAAATGACGATTTGAACAGAAATGAAAAATTAACGGCTCTACAATTGTATTATAAATTATTTTTCACCATCACGTAATACAACGTTTGAAATAAAATTTTCATTGTAAAATTTTAACCTAAATACATATATTAAGTTTCAATGAAAATAATTGTTTAATTCATTTATTGATTTCATACTAAACTAACACAGTATAAAGCCATCTTGGCGTTTAGTACGAAAAGTAAAAATACTTTTACTAGTAAGATAAATATTTTGCGTGTCTCACTTGTTCTTCTAAATCTCGGATTTCTCGTACAATGGCCCCAGTTTCTTCGACTAGACTGACAATTTCATTGCAATCGGAATGCAATGTGGCAAGTAATTTATAAGCTTTCTTCGATGTCTCATTCGTTCGAGCATCGCGGAAAATTAGTTCATCAACGACCGTAAACGATCTTTCCAATCTGCCAGTAAGCACATTGATTTCTTTTTGCATTTCACGCGTATCGCCTAAAATTTTGTCTATTTCATCCTTTTGCTTTTTAACATTATTGATTATTTCTAATATTCTTTGGGTATAAGCAGATCTGCTTACTTCTCGGGGATGCTTTTGAATATCTGCTACAAGCTGAGCGTACTGCTGATCCTTATTACGACATTCTTCTATCAACTCTTTTTCTTTATTCTTCATCAATTGTAGCTCATCGAGTTTCTTTTGGCTGGCACTCTAACGAGTCAAACAAAATTTTAAAGCTTATTATTACCTCGACATTTTATAAAACTTTAATATACAAAATATGATATAATCTTAATTAATAAGTTTAAGATATATGTATTCGTGCGTTAGACAGTAAGAATACTCAATGCATTGAATTTTTACAAATATATTGTATGTGCTTTTGTTTTTATGTCATTTTTCATTGTTACATAATTCTATTGCAATACTTTTTATTTTACATTGAAGTAGAAGTTGAATTCAACAAAATGTAAGCTTGCTTTAATAAGAAGGATTCGTGCAATTAATTAATTATGATTTGACATTTTCACTTGATTTGTGCTATTATTATAGATGTTAAGTATAAAAAAAAAATTTTTAATTTTAATCAATTATGTTAATTAGAATTTTCAATTTAAACTTACAGCTATGGAGGAGTGTTTTTCCTTTTCACTTCGGTATTGTCCTATTAATGACGATCTATGCTTCTCCCACTGATTCGCTAAATTAATTAATTTATTTACATAAGCTTCGATCGTTTCTTCTAATTTAACGACATTTTCATCTCCATTTTCAAGCAATTCGTAAGCTTTCATTTTAATTTTGGCTTGTTCCTCGTGCGAACTAAGGGCTTCTGTTTCATTTTGATAAATTAGAGTGGCATGATTTATTTCGGACATTAATTTCTTTATATCCATCTGAATCTCTTCGATATTGGCTTTTAAAGCCTCGCATTCTGATTTTAATCTTTCAATTTCTTGCTCGTCCGTAATACTTTTATTCTCCTTCGATTCTATAGGATTTTGTTTCTGAATCTCTACTACGTCAACATCAACGTTCTCACACGATTGGCTACTCGAATCTTTTAAATTCATGCCCGATATAAATTTATTAATTAAATAAGACTCATTGTCGGGCATGTCGATTACTTTATCGTATTCTTGAGCATTAAGCCAATCTATTTTGTCAGTGATGGTCAATGATGGCACTGCGTGATTATATCTCCCATTTAATGCTAGTACAGATGGTACAAGATATTTAACATCTCGCACTTGTTCCAATAAAGATGATTTGTATCGAATATTATAATTATGATATTCTAAATCAAAAAATGAGATTTGAATAGCAAATTTATAAGATTTACTTGCTATTATAGATACATTTTTGATAGAATAGAATAAATATTTATAATTGATTATTCACTAAATACTATGGTATTCGAATATACTTTAATAATTAATATCCACATTTATTCTACATTGGTAAGAGTTATGAGTTACAACTGAATTAATAACAGCTTTAACTTCAGTTAGACTATAGCAATCAGTTTGGACATTTTTTTCTCGTAGAAAACATAATAATAATCGTATTTATAAAATTAATTTTATAACGATATTTTAATATTTTACTAAAACTATCCGCTTAAAATTACCTTGTCAAATTCTGGTTAGACACGTCAATTCATAGCTTGCTCGTAAGTAAATTTTTATTATTATAAATAGACTCTACCTTCTTTATTCTCTACTGTAGAATTATCAAGATGTATCGTGGCAAACGGTGTTTTGGTCTGAACGCTAAACTTTGAGCGTTTTTTATGGCAATAGTATGGTAGCCACGGTACAGAAATTTGCTTCAGTATAGCAGACGATATTAATTTTTCAAGCTGAGCGCTTTTCGTATCCGGTTCGTTTATACTTTTGTCACTTTCCTTGGGTAACTTTTCAATCAAAAACATAAAAACCCGACGCAAATCGACTTCGGCACTGTAGAGAAAAGTTTGATATCCAATGTCACCTTTGTATCCAAGTTCCTTAACGTTACACAATAAAGTCGAAATAAGCCAGTGATAAAGATATTTTAGGATGTTGGATAGATTAATGTAAAACGTTACCGAGCAAATTTGAGCCAATGTTGCACCCATACGAAATCTCGCAGCCATATTTACAGGTAAAACAGGACTTAAAGCAAGATCTGGTCGTATAAGCTCCAGACATTTTACAGTCGCCTTGACAATCAGCTCTATGTCAAAGCCAGCCAAATTAGTTATACTCTCGTCTATATCACTGAAAAGGCGCAGAGATAAGTCTCATCATAATGTATTATTGTAAATAAATAACGACAGGCTATACAATGAAAAAATTATAATTATTAGTTTAATAAGATACCAGCCGATTTGAAGTAGGGAATGAATAATTATATTGTCAACTTCCTCCATTGTATCCACCTACCAGGCTAACTTGCAAAATTGCCAAGCATTAAATAAAAAAACATAACCTTATAGCGATAAATTTAATTCCGCGCTAAACATCTTTCGGAGAATTAAACGTGAATTAATAATTTTAAATCGGTGTTTATTGCCGAATGTTAAATGACGTTCAACAATAATCAAAATCACTCCTACTGACAGCTAAACGCTGCACTATGCCTACTATACTCTGCATGCAGCTACCGGTTTGAAAGGGACATGCAGAGGTGCAGTTACCTATGTTACCGGCTCGGCTTAAATACCGTTTGCTCGCCATGACAAATAGAAAGAAAGCTTGGATGCGTCTCTGCTTGACGTTCGATTTCACGGAAAGGAAGATGCGACACGAAGATTCTTGTCGTCGTGAGCAATTTTAATCAGAAGCAATCCGGCATTACGGTTGAAAGGGATTGTGTGCTTGCAAGTGGGCCGCATAATTCGTTGTGATTTAATTTATGATTGAGCCGTACATGGTTGCGGCTCTCACTGAAAGTTATTCCCAACGAATCGAAGGAATTGAAAAGGAGAAAGAGGAAAAAGGTAAAACCGAAATTGGTTTCCCTCTACTGCGGTATTCGAATGAAAATTCCTTCATACTCTGTGCATTCGATCAGTCGCATTATAAAGCGAACGAAGTATTATCAATTAGGAGAGAGAGAGAGAGAGTGAGTGAGTGAGTGAGTGAGAGATTGTAAATGTACACTGGGAGAATCGAGAAACGTCGAACGAGCCGTCGTTTATGAAAATTTCCCGCCATGCGGACGAGAAACTCGCGGTACCTTGGACTTTCGATCGATAATCCCCGGCATTGAGCAATGTAGTCGGGTTTCTCGAGACCGACGATGATATATGGCATTCGCTCTTCCTCCATTCGTATAGCTAAAAACTTTGTCGCGAGCGCAGAGTTTGGAGGAGAGGATGAAATAATTTGCGACACGGAGGAGAAATTTTTGTTTGAAAGCGCGCGCCCGGTAAGTTGGAAATAAATTGAAAACTTACGTCAAGGCGTAAAGAGACGTAATCAAGATGCTGCTTATTAATATAATAAACATTCCGACACAAACGTACCTTCGACCGTCAATATTCATTCAATATATACTACATATAGCATCTACCATTATCATTATCATTATCGCCCTTGTCATTATCTATTTAAAAATTTTAATAATTACGTACCCCCGTTTTAAGCCACGAGACAGGGAGAGTAAAAAATGGCATCGAACGACCAAATTGCCAGAATAATAAGCTTCGTGCGAAAAGTCAACTACCGGCAATAGATAGCTAACCCCGCAATCAATCCCACTGCATTGCAATCATAAGGTAAAAGTGCGTCGTAAATACCGTCGGAAACAAATGGAAATACGTAGTTTTACTATAAATTGTGCACGAAGAAGTCGGCTTAAATCCACGAGATCCCACGGACTCGACAAAATCAAAGTTCTCGAACGCGAGTGTACGGGCCTTATTTCAATAAGTCAGTCGCTCTCCTGTACGTGTAATTTACCCCCCACCCACCCACGCCCGGTATCATGGGTAAGCGTAATATACACCGAACGGCCTAGCAGATTCATCCATCGCATCTATCCACATGAACCGGCGATTACGGCACTGCTGGTTGGACAATTGAACAATGAGCCAAGGAGATTCGACTTTCGGTGGCGTGAGAAACTGGCGTGAGGGATCGCGCGCACGCGCGCAGCGCTCGACTCGATCAATTAAACGCTCTCAGCCGCTCTCTCTCTCTCTCTCTCTCTCTCTATCACTCTCACGCCAGTAACGAGCAGCGCTCTAGAGGATGAGTACGAGGACGAGGACGAGGACGAGAGCGACAACGAGGAGGATGAGGATGTGGACGAGACGGTGGAACAGGGATAGTTGATTGGGTTGGGTCGTCGTCGTCGTCGTCGTCGTCGTCGTCGTCGTCGTCGTCGTCGTCGTCGTCGTCGTCGTCGTCGTCGTCGTCGTCGTCGTCGTCGTCGTCGTCGTCGTCGTCGTCGTCGTCGTCGTCGTCGTCGTCGTCGTCGTCGTCGTCGTCGTCGTCGTCGTCGTCGTCGTCGTCGTCGTCGTCGTCGTCGTCGTCGTCGTCGTCGTCGTCGTCGTCGTCGTCGTCGTCGTCGTCGTCGTCGTCGTCGTCGTCGTCGTCGTCGTGTTTTTTTTATAGGTGACGGTGGTGGTCTGGTGGCGGAGAGTGGGGCGACAAGGAGGTTGTGAGAAGTGGGGGTCAGCAGCCCGAAAGAGAGGCTCGGCTCGACTCTCTCCCGCTGTCGCGGCGGGCAGACACATCGAGTGGAGCTCGAGGAGGTAAGACCGACCGAGGTTCGGTTGTCGGAGGAGGCACACAACGCCCGCGTC